GCTGTATGCAACAGCTTGAAGAAACACTTAAACCCCTGAATTAGCGATGCACTGCAAGAGCAGCTCAGCGGAGCAGCACACAGAGAAAAATTACACAGGCAACTTGGTAGCAAAATAATCGCAGCCACATGAGAAGGGGAGACTGATGCTCATTGCTGTCAGCTGCTCTGGGGCTGCTGCAGATCCTTTTCATGGGATATGGCTGTGTGATCCCAGCACGGGATCCCTGCTCGGTGCAGGGGAGGTGGGATCACGCTGATGCCCCACTGCTTAGTAGGGTTATGGGCGCTCGTGCGGAGCCCTTCCTTGCGAAGGTCATTTCCACGTGTCTTCCGAACAAAGTCAAACCCATAAATTATTCTTAAATCAGGAGCAGCTGGTTCACATCCCAGTCCTCCACATACTTATTTGTCACGCTTCTGGGAACTGAAATACGATTTGCTGCACGGTACCCTTCCCATAATCACCAACCGTCTCCAAGCTCATTGCATAAATAACCTGCAGGCTTGCCTGTCCTCCCTTAAAGTCTCCAAATCCCTACAAATTCAAGAGTCTGTGGAGTATGTGCACCATGAAGGGATGTACAAACTCATCTGCATTTCTCCGCACCCAGATAACATGGGTTTTATAGAAAAAAAACACTTTGTGAATGACAGGCTCTAATTTGCCTGGGTTTGGTACCAAAAGGGCTGTCTGGTCCCAAGTTCTTGGATGCTTGTGCTTGAAGGTCCTTGATGCTTCGTATTGGCGCTAGGATTAAGCAGCACGACAAGTGCAAGAAAAGCAAAGTTGTCCTGAAGTTTATTTACGGAGGAATATTTTCCCTGATGAACCTTGAACATTCACGGCCCTTGAAGTGAGTCATTCCCAGAGCACTAAAACAAGTGCAAACCAGTGAGGAAGAATTTAAAAAGGAGACAGTTCATAAGTGAAGGTCACAGAGGAGAGCAAATGCCACCTCAGCCCAGGTTCTAATGAAGCCTTTTTCCGGTGGAAGAAATGAAGTCCCTTAATTACCATTTTGTAAATAAAATCTTCTTGGAAAATCAATATTTAGAGCCTGCCTTCTCTGAAGATGTTGGCCTTTGTTCCTTGCTATTACGGCCATATAAACCCCATAGTGTGATATACTTCTAGGCTGAAAATTACCCCCCTGAACCTGATTGGGTCAAAGGAAGAAAAGCAATAAACCTTTCAGAGCGGTAATTGGGGTACTATTTCATGCTTCCTTGTGAATTTTGAAGTAATAACCTAGAAAGCATGATTTTATACAAGCCCACAATGAACTTGGCCAGTAACCGCCCCTTCCTCCTGCAGCGATACGCCTGCTTTCAGGCCGGGCTGGTGATGTCGGGTGGGAATTTTGCTGGAAATGCCCATTACACCTCTCAGGCGTTTGGATCATGATCGATCCGAATCACCCCAGGAACACTAGGGGCAAACTGGCATCTCCGATCAACAGAGAGGAACAGACCCTGTGGCTGCTGGACATGGGGATGGCTCCACCAAAGTGAAAAACGCTCCATCAGCTTTTCCATCCGAGAGCACGGTTCAGCGCAGCATCACCCCGACAGCTATCGGCTCCGTCCCCAACCGAGGGACTGCATGGCAAGGCAGCCCCATCGGCAGCTCCTTCAGTGATTTTTATTCACAGCTTTTAATGGAAAACCCCACAATTCCCTACGCCTGAGCTTTCATGCATTTTTCATTAACAATTATCCGCTATCCCAGAACTGCTTTTGATTTTTGCTAATCATCGATTGGATATTTTGTTCCCACACAGCTGGCATTTTCAAAACATAACAACCACCTCTGGAGAGGGCACAGCAGAAGGCTGATCTTTAATGCTAATGTGCCCAGAAACCGTCAACACATCAGGTGATGAGAACTCACATCTGAGGGACCACGAGGGAAAAGGTATTTATCGGACACAGCCTGTGAGGCTTATTTTACTGTGCTAAAAAGGCTGGAAGTTGCTTAGCAAGTAACTGTATGGTGTCGTACCAGCAGCCACATCCAATCTGCAGTGATTCCAGACCTGAATCTCAACAACGATGGGCTTCTCAAGTCCCATGACCTTGAGGGTTTGCTCTCCTTGGGTTTGCACTTACCGCAAATGAGAGATAGCGTGGGGTGAACGTAGATGCCAAAGGGCCCTTCAGAACTTTGTGAGGCAACAGTTTGATCGAAAGATCTTCCCATCGGCTGTGGGTTTGCGGAGACACGCTACTGCCAGCAGGAGCGATGCCTCAAGCTTGCAGGAGCAGAGCGGCATCTCGAACGCATTGTGTTCTGCAGGTCTGGACCTCACTTCTAGCTGTGTTTGTTTACAAGAATGAAGTTGTTCATAATGATACATTTTGCAATCAATTAGCACATTATATGATTTGGGATGATTTACTCTTTTTTTTCTAAAAAACCCTTTGGGGGCATTCAGACCTTTATTGCCATATTAAGCAGAGTTTTAATCCAAATGAATTTTCTGGGAAACCATGTAATCTAATTAAAAAGCTCATAGTGCAGTTTAGTAGCTTCATTACTCGTAGATTTGAGATCCATCTTAACATGGACAAATATTTTCCAAGTGCAATAGACTGATAAATCCAAGCCATAATCACAAACTGATTTTGCCTGGAACTAAGTGCGTTACAGCACTTAGTCATGCCCATGAGAATGAAACAAAGGACAACTTGAAAAAGCTCAGAAAAAAACCCAGCCGTTGATCTGTTTCCTCCATTTCATGGAGCACCCAGCCCTGCTGTACCAGCAAGGGCGTTTTTCAGACTGGCAGCTTTGGAAACCACCAGGCACGGCCATTTGCCTGAAGCTGGGCGTCAGAGTAGCCCAAGACTACTGCAAAAGAAGCCAAAAGTTCAACATCATCGAGTACGATGGCCTTAGGGCTCAGCTTTACGTTCGCGTTACTATAGCTTGAGAAGACGCCACGTGTCAGCTGAGCCCCAGTAACTGGCTGAGCTCCCTCAGCTTGTGCCAGATGCAATGTAATCTGATCATTTAGCTCGCAGTGGAAAAGACTGACGCTAAATTGCATTAAATTGATTCCCATAAGAAAACGATTACAGCGATGCTCACCGAGTCGCAGTTCACATGCATGTGTAGCACAGCTCCAGGCACAGGGACCCGGGCAGGAGACATGACCATGACCAAAGACCCTATTTTGACTTTCCTCAAACAGTGAAGAGGAATGATTTCACAGGCAAGACATCTGGGTGAGACGCAGAGCCAGATTCAGTGTGAGTTTTGTCATGGATTTAATGACCGCTTGTAAAGTCTTTGGTCACTTCTGACTCCGCTTCCTGGTCAATAAAAGGGAATGCACTAATTTCCCTTCTCCCATTTCTGCTCGTTTCATCTCATAAGGGCAGACAAACATCAGAAACCCATGCAACAAACTAGAAGATCATGAGCCTGGATTGAGTGGCATCTGTATGCACACACAAAGTTCCTTGAAGCTCTAAAAACTTCCAGCTCAGAGAAAACCTCCACTGATTGAGAAGATTTTATGACAACTCACACCTTACCCTTCTTGCAATGCACATCCTCCCATCCTTCATATAACAAAGCTTTTAAAAAGCCTCAAACCTGAAGTCAAAAAGCCATAGTATATAGAAACTTAGAAAAATAAACCCACTTTTCTCCCCTGAGGAACAAGCCATGGTGCCTGCACAGCATTTCCCAACAGTCTAAACTCAAGGTTCCGACCCTCCAGCACGGCTGGGTAGTTGCATTCATGAGACACATTTGTTAAGATAGATAGCAGAGCTATATGACAGCATAAAATACAAATCTCTACCAATAATTTAGGTATATTACACAGGTACTGTTATTTTTCAGTATATTGTTCCATGCTATTTCCATAGAAACTATGTTGTCAACTTGTAATTTTCACACTAAGTGCATCCCACCATATCATTTCCTCAGCACAAACATCCCCTTCCCCTCACACGAAAATGCCGTTATTTGGTATTTAGAGAAAACACTCTTCCCCAGTGAGACAAAAGGCTGAAGTTTAGTGAAAGTCAGCTTCTACACAAATACTATTGCAAATGTATTTGGATTTGCACACCCCAGCAGGTCAATGTTCAGAGGTTAAAGCGCAGTTCCTCCACTGCGGAGTGAGTGTGGTCCCTGCCAACTCCAGGGACAACATTTGGTCCTTCCAGAAATATCCAGGTGATGATCAGGACAAAAGAGAAACTTTTGCTGGGTTCCTGCATCATCAGTCAAAGTCTAACGCTGATGTCCTAGTACAATAAAGCACAAAGCACTGAAATGTAAGCCTACAAAGTGCAGCTAGTAGGACCGGAGCAGTGTTTTAGCAGATCAAAGCCCAAGTTGAATCCACAGATCTGCTTCTGAACATTACCACCTTCAAGCAAGCCAACATCTCTCCTGCCTTCCTTTCCACTGAAGTCCAGAAAGTTCAAAATAATGACTTTTAATTCAGCCTCTCTCAAAAGCAGGGTCAGGGAGCATTGCATCAGTCCGAGGGTGCATGACAGCAACCTCCCTCACCTGCTGAAGCCAAGTTGGCTCTAAAGCACTCCCTTTTCAAGGCGCTCAAGCAGCAGGAGTGCAGTCTCTGATCACTCAGGCCCATCTCAGCGTTGAGCACGTTAGCCATTGCCCAGCACAAGGGGGCTATGGCGAAAGCAGGGCTTGCACAGCTCACCAGGACGTGCTGCAGACCCCACTGCCCTCTGCCAGCTTTCATTGCCTGGTCCAAAATGAACAACTGCACACATCTGCCTCAAAATCGCTGTCTGCACAAAAGCTGAAGCCTGTGTGAGCTAACTTGCTCTTTGCCCAAGAATTACACCTGCAGGGTCAGCTATTTCTGGACCGTCAGGTAGGCGATGTCCATCCTCCATGTGTGGTAACTCCAGATTGACGCTGGGGAATGGCACAACCCAGGTGTGTGTCTCACACTGCCCTCCACCCCACGCTGCAACGCCAGTGGCCAGCGCACGAGGACTTACCTGTTGTTATTCTTCAGCTTAATGTGGTCGCTGGTCTCCAGGATCTGCCCGTTCCTCAGCCAAGTGATCTGTGGAGGGGGTTCCCCTTGGGCCACGCACGTGAAGATGGCAGTAGTCCCCACGGGCCTGGAAATGGACTGGGGATGCTGCACAAACTCTGCAGGGGCTGCAAGGAGGAAGGAGAAGGAGGGTGAGAAAAGTCATGATGATCCTACTTTAGCCTGGTACAAAGAGCAACCTCATAGCTTGGGCTTCAATAAGCCTCGTCTGCCTGGGAAAATGGGATCCTTGGCCAACGCCCAGCATAGGCAGCAGATAACTATGGTTTGGATGGTGTGTCTGTGGTCAATGCAATGCTGCAATTCGGTTGCCCATCCTGGTAGTCATGGCTTCGTAGAAGCACCTGAAGGTCCGCTCAGTACGGTATGGAGAGCCAAGGTGAGTGCTGCAGGGTTCAGGCAAACGGCATCAAAGTCTAAGCCCCCTCAATCACCTCTCCCCAGTCTCCCACTGAACGCATCCCCAATGCCGCAAAATAATCCGTATCTGACAAAGGTTATTTCAAAATGCATCCTGCCTGTTGGGGGAACAGGCTGGAAGGTCAGCAGTCTCCGGTCGTTTGCACACACGTAAAATGGAAAGCGTGAGTAACCCTTCATAGTGTGTGGCACCACGCAGGGCCGTCACCCTGGCAGAAATGAGCCGTCTGCTAGGGAGGCTGTCAAAAATCAGCACGTATTGACAGTACAAAGAGCGGTGAGGAAGGAAGGCTGCAACTACACACCGCAGTTAGAGTATTTGCGGCTGGGGAGATCTGCTGTTTCATCAATGGCAGAGCTAGAGCAACACCCTGGCTTTGCCCAAAGGACCTGTACGGCATTAGCCAACTGCTTGCAAATGGAAAGAGATGTATGGATGTGCATACAGCAACCTGGCAGGTTGGTCTTTCCCAGGAAATATCAGATTTGCTGCAGACTCTCCTGGTAGCAATAGACTGGGGAGCATTTTTGACCCCAGATCTGCAGCCTGGGACCCTTGGGGTCCTGCCAAGCCTGGTAGAAGACTCCACCATGCCTGTAACTGCTGCTCACCTCATAACCAAATGTTTTCACCTTTAACAATAACACTTTTAAATGGAAAGTGATTTCTCCCTTTCCAGCAGCTCAAAATAGATTTAAAATAATTTATCAGAATAAACCAGTGTATTAGCCTACAGAAAGCAGGGCCTGAAAAACACTGCCAAATAGGTGAGTTTATTCAAGCAGTTACACCTCAAAGGGCAAAGTGATAAATATACTCCACGTTACTGCTGAAACTTAAAATCAGGTGGAACCAGCAGCAGCCGCAATGAAGACAAACAGATAAGAGGCCCAGACCCGTAATGAATTTACCGACTAATGTCACATAACGGATGGCTGGTGTTAAATTTTTCCGACAAAAGCAAAACTATCCAGGGAGACACGCTCAGTGCCACTCGTTGGCATTTTCCAAGCGTGAGGTTGGTGGGCTCTGGCACCAGCAGAGATGCAGGGATGGGAGAAGGTAGCAAACTGGTCCAGCAAAATGTGTTCAGGGGTGGCCAGGCTGCAGGCAGGAGCAGCTACGCAAGAGCTGAGCCTTGTGTTTCATGGCCAAAAATCCCCTCCGGGTTTGCTGCAGCAGTACGGGGTAATAAAGCTCTTCCCCAGCTGCATGCGTGCATGCAATTTGCTACTGATGCAACAAGGCCCAACCGCAGCGAAAGGTCCTTGCGTGTAAGAGCGAAGTCATGCACGTTGTAAGTCCTGCAAGCAGAAAGACAGAAATTCATGGAAGAGCCCGTCTACCTCAAAGGAGCCCCCTCTTTCATTTTTAATGGGAAGCAGAGCATGGCAGGTCTGACTTAAGTTAGCAGTAGGGGGTCTCCGCCGGTAGAGTTTATTGTCAGGCTGCTTCTCTCGGTGCTCGGTTCTACTAATGAACCTGATCTCAGCAACCTAACGGGCACAGATTTCCAGAACCTCCTGCTAAACTTCCCCACGTGCCAATCGATCCCTTGTCCTTTTATTTCCCTCCTATGTTTTTCCCCCTCTAGGCTTATAAATTAAAATAAAATTCAGATTGGGTTCACTCAAAGTTGGAAGCACGGATGAACAGGGGGAAAAACCCCTCATCCCTGCAGTGAATGGTCCCTTTGTGGCGTACAGTGAGAGCTTTAGAGACTTGATTTTCAAGACTTCCTTAACCTCCCGCCCCCTGCTTTGTGCTGGCGCGGTTTTGCAGGAGCAATTATTTTGCAAGTGGCTGTGCACCTCCCTGCTTTCATCTGGGCTCACGAGTTGCACCCGCAGTACTCGCAGGTGCAAACCCACGATGCCAAGGAAGGGCACAGCCATCTTCCAGCTCCTCGCCGCAGCTTCATTAAAGATCCTGCCGCTTGGCTCTTTGCCTCTGCCTCCCCCTCCGCTTCACTAAATCTCAAACCCACCGTTTGTTCCGACAGAAACAAAGTTTAAATATGGAAAGAAGCATCCGGCGTAACCCTTCTGGAATCGCTGGCTCTCCTTATCCTCCCTTATTAGCCCGTGTCAAGAGGGAGTAATTGGAGCGGTGTCGCGTGTGACTCGGGGGTAACGAACGTGCAGCTGCGGCCGCTGGCTCGGCGCCAGCGATGCTATTCAGGACCGCGGCCCCTCGGGTTCCTCAGGTCCCTGCTCCCCTTCGCCATCCCTCCTCTCCGCTGCCTTGCTAAAAACAACCAGATCAAAACCCTGGCCCCTGTTTAACTTGTTTAAACTGTCTGGGGAGCAGGCGGCCGCTCCTTCGAACGGCTCCCACCTCTGCTGTGCCGAGCTGTCCCTGCTTGCTGGCATCCCTCGCTGCAAGACATGGCATCCCTTCTGCTGTTCTTGCTCCTCCTGGCTTTCTCAAGGCATTGCTCTGTCCCGTTCAGGTCTCACCCTACTCCTTTTGGTGCAGAAGGAGCAGCAGTGCGGAGCTGTAGTGACAAAAGGGACACGGCCACAGCAGAAACCCATGGAGTTAAAAGGCTCCCTGTCCCCATCACCAGCTTCTGACAGCATCACAGAAAGGACATGGTCCAGGTGCCACCAGGGTCTTAACACGGGGACAGACATTGCTGCAAGGAGATGCCCCTCTGCTCCCCCTGCCCAGGGTGCACCCGACCCGGTGTCTGTACCAGCGTCCCCAGGCAGGGTGCCCTGAGGCAGCCACCGGTGCGTGGTCTCGGGGCGAATGGTTCCTTTCGTGGACAGAAGAACATCTGCTCTCCTCCTCCCAGTGCCCTTTCAAATGATTTCGATGGGAACCGAGAGTTTGCCACCTCTGGCCCTGGGTTAGCGGGAAAGAAGCAGAAGCCAAGCCCTGCCTTAAGCCAAGCCCTGCTTTAAGCCAAGCCCTGCCTGCTGCCAACCCTCCACCCGCCTCGTCTTTCATAATTAATAGAGCATCTTGTCAGTGCTCATCTCGCCCTGCATGGAGGCACAGTGGCCTGAACACCTCTCCCCCTTCCACACGACATGCCAAAAGGCCATCGCAGGCAGCAAGAGGAAGCGCTTCTCAGCCCTCGATGAAGATCCTAACAAAGGTATTAATGAAGATCACTGGTAAGAGCAGAGGATTCAAACCTGGCAAGGAGGAGTGGGCAGGATCCAGCCCTGGCTTGTGAAGTATGAAGAAACCAGAGCGTTGATTATTCAGGACCTAATGGGAGGGAGGGAATCATGCAGTTTTAATGAATATTTAAAGGTGTGACATTGGTATCAAAAAGCAATAATCCTTAATACCACTCCCAGAATCATTAACAAAGTGCTTCAATAGCTTTCACTGTGCTCAACAAACTGTGAGAGCACAAAGATGCACTGTAACAGTGGGTTGTAACGGGAGACCCGGACGGGCTCCATCACTTTAGGGACATTTCATCTCAGCAGTGTGTCCCCCAAGATAACAGGGAGCTTCGCTGCCCTTGCCGTGAGTTTGCAGCACGGTGCTTAGTGCAGTGCCTGGCGGCTCGCTAAGAAGGGCTGTCCTGAGGATGGGGGAGCACTGACAGCCCATGCATCGTTGCCAGATGAATCCTTGCCCCTCGCACCTCGGTATGAAGCCGTCATTAATTCTCAAGAAGCCAGAGTGGCAGGGTGAGGGAGGGAGGCTGGGGTGAGGAGAAGGAAGAATAACATGGAAACAACAAAACCTCATCAATTAGGCTACCGGAACCTACAGTAAGAGTACAAAGGAGAAGACAGGTCAATGGGGAAGTCAGTCAAGCACAGCATCACATGACAGGAGATTTAAGACAACTGCTGCCCGCTTGGCTTCTCCCTATCGACTACAGAGGATGCTCAGATGCTTACAGAAGTTACTTAAATAGTTAAGTTGTAGAGTTGGTGGGATTGCTACGGCCAAAGATGGAACCTGTGACTGTGTCCCTGGGAAACAGGCAGAGACCACTCAAGGAAGCTGCCACGGAGGCTGTCCATCAGCCCTCAGTGGGTATCAAGAACTTCTTGTCCTGGCAAGGTGCAGGTTGGAGCTCTGCAGCAGTAGGACGTGTTCCCACGTTACCTACTGGCGTGCTCCTGGGAGGATGCTCTGGAGGGCTCAGGCACCCCAGCTCACTCCAGCATCTCAACAGACGAGATCCAAGTGCCCATCTGTCCCTGTGTGGTGGCTTTTCTTGAGAAGGAAAAAGTAGGCAGGAAGGGGACTGCTCCTTGGGGCACGCTGTCCCACGCAGCACGTACTGAAGCTGTTTTTGCAGCATGAATTTAGGGCTAAACTCGAGGACAAACCAAGTACCACAGAGCTGAGCCTAAAACACAGCAACTGCCATACATCTGCTGATGAATTCAATCCCGCAGCCAAGGCTTGCAATGCCAATGAAGAAGAACGATGGAAGGAACATCAGGAAACGCAGCGGTGGCCGGATCTGCTGGACCAAGGAGCGCTGCCCGGTTCTGCCGGCAGAAAGCAAGGCGAACAAGGCAGTCATTGTCAGCAGAGCCTTCAAAAACATGTCCTTAAGATGGGCACTCATTTATGAGATGGGATCTCATTTTTCTGCATAGCTTTCAGGAGGAAATGAAGCGTGGAGTGGAGAACACTGGTGACCATCTGGCCATTCACAGCCCATCAGTTTGTTATGACACCAAACACATAATAAAGCACAAAAGATTGCACAGGAGGTAGAGAGAAAGCGCTTTGATATATTTTTTTGTTTTTCCTCGCAACCGAAGCCTGCTCTTCCCTTGCACCACACGCACGCACACCCTCCGTTTCAGCCAGCGATGCATTCGGCCCTTCGACAACTCCCCCCGTGAGACTTTCATTCGCAGCCCGGCACAAAGCAATATTCAAATGGCTGCGCCTGGATCTGAAGAGAAAATGGAAACTTTCTTGTGTGAGAACCTTACAAAAGAGATCAAAGGAGCCTAAATGGCCAGGGGAGGGCAGGGAGGGAGGGAGCGGGGGATTGACGCCTTCTCCTCTGAAAGGAAGAGGAATTCCCAGGAAGATAATAAGACAGCGTTAGATGATCTGAAGGAGAGCCTGCAATGGGAAAGGACATTACTGCCAAAGCAAAAGCGGAGCCCTGCGCTGGGACACCTCTGCCGACACAGCTGCTGGGATGGGGACAAGAACCACTGCTGGCAGCAGGAGGGAGGACGTGGTCTCAGTCCCAGCCTCCCGCTAACTCTTTGCCTTACAACAGGAAACATTGCCCTTTCTCCTCCAGTTTCCCACCTATAAAACGTGCCTCCTTCAAAAGATGCGGGCCAAGTTAATTTGTGCCTCCAGGCACTTCAAGGGCCCCTGCATAAAGGCAGCAAGTACCTGGCCTGGCGTGCTTTGAGGACGCTGTATTGTCCTAGCCCTGTGCTAACTTCCTCTCCAACCAGGCTTTTGATAGCCCGCTCTTTGCTTTTATTCTCTTTACGGATGTAATTTGCATCGCTGACATCTTGACAAAGATAAAACCCACAGTCTCCCATGTCAGTCATTATCGCTGTTTTCTTCCCAGACAAACCTGAACAGCAATCATTTGTACCTCTCAGCTGGAAAATTCAGGCAAAATGAGATTCAGAGGAAGGAAAAGCTACTTCCAGAGGGAGGGTGAGCAAACCTGGGATGAGCCCAGCTGCCTGGCCAAGGTCTGCCGTTAGCTTCCCTGGGGAAAGACAGCCCCCCAAAAAACATGAAGCATTTTATGGATGGGCAACACAGGTTGGGGTCCTGGACACTGCAGCTCGTGTCTAAGGGCTACACCAAGGATGCACTGGCCACGCTTCTCCATACCACTGCCAACTTCTCTGCTAATGCTGAATGCAGGAGCATCCCCCTTCCACAGCGAGGCTGGGCTCCAATGGCCCTGTGATTATCATTTTAGGGACAAATTCTCATCGTGGTTCCCCAAGTGAAAAGCTACAATAATTCTACCCCAGATGAACGCCAGCACTAGACCAGCTGCTCAGGAGCTGACGTTCAAATCTCCAAAGAGACTGAAAACTGCCGATCTGTAGCAATAAGAAGTTGTGCTACCTTTCCCCCTCTCATTCAATTGCTAACAGGAGCAGTCAACAGTATTCAATAGCTGTATTTTTACAACTTCATAGATTTTCCAAGCAATTTCTTTTGGCTCTGCCTGCCTGCCTCCTGGACATCAGTTTGGCATTTGGATTTAGTAGACCTCAGCTACATGCACCACGTGCAGAGCTGTCCTGCATCAGCTCTAAAATGTTTGTATCAGCGAGGTTGTTCTTAACGCTGGGTTGATGTTTCTTAATAAAGGGACTCATAGGTGTGCCCATCCCCAGCCAGCTGGGAGGCCCCCTTGTTCCATTGCTCACCCAGAAACCCAACAGCAAAAGAAATGGTGAGTTTTCACCCCCTCTCATGTCTGATCAGCACCTGGGACTCAGGAGGCAGGAGCAGCCCTGTACAAGCACCCTTTCTACATTGCTCTTTGCTGCTCCCAAGGCAAAGGGGAAAAGGGATGCCAGCACCCAGGGACCAGGGCTGCTGCACAAGCGGTGCGGTGCCAGATCACCGCCAGTGGCTCCCGGGACCCATCAGGTGAGCATCGGGGCTGGAGCAGGGCACTTTCCCCATCACCCGCATGAAAGGTTCAATTAGCTCGCTCCGGCAGGAGGTGTATAATTTTAGATTCAGGATATCATCAGTCAATAGTTAATGAGTGAACTGATGAGAGAGCGAGATGCTTTAAGTGGACTAGCTTGAAGAGGAGGTGAGTGCCTGTAATCAGGGGTGGATTACTGCCATTCAGAGCACGCTGCCAGCTGGGTTTGCCTTCTGAAATACTTGCCTGGCTCCCCTCACCATGGAGACTGGTCTCACAGAGCATGTGGAGGAGATTTGTTTGGTTACTTGAGTCTTGATCTCTACTCTGGGATTAATCACCCTTTACAAGTGGCATTTCAGGGCAGTTGCTGTGGGGAAGGGGAGCAACCTGCATCTCCTGGACATGGGCCCCAAAGGGTCCTTTACTCCTGTCGTGGCAAGAGGCACAGATACAGTGTGGACTGCTAAAGAAAACAGTCTCACTGACTTTTTGGAAATGGTTTTAGACTTACTGGTGCCACTTCAGTTGGACAGCAATACTCTGTGAGTGATATCTACTCCTGGATATCACTGCAGGATTGATATCTATCATTCAGAGGTATCCGATATGAGAACAGTGCCCGCGTCCCCATATCGCTAAGGACCATGCAGGGGTGAGAGACAATTCGACTAATTCAGTCCAGGCTTTCTGCTGAGATGTACAAGTATGATAACAAGTAACAACCCCTCTCTGTTAAGCCAAGTAAATGCCTGTCATGGGGTGGGAAATCATTGCAACCCATGCAGCTGAGGCCTCAGTTGAATAGTATCTGGTCGCTACTCACCCGTGTAGGACACAGCGACATACATCCGCTTGTGAAATTGCATGTCTAGAAAAGAAGTGCTTTGCCTGATACCATAAGAAAAGCAAAGACAGCATCTGTCCAACCCAACCCATCACAGTGCCCAGAGGACATGTAGAGACTGTGCAGAGGGCACAGCGAAGTGGGCATCACCACTCTGCAAGCCCCGAGTTTGCTCACCTTGTACAACGAGCCTGCCCTGCGCGGTCCTTCGCACTCGAGTGCCGGGTTTGTTCGCGGCGCACACATAGATGCCAGAATGCTGCACGGTGAGGTCTGAGATCATGAGATTTCCTGTCCCCAGCACCTGGATCCCTTCCACGCCAATCGGGCGGCCGTCTGAAAGAAAGAGAAAAGGGTAAAAGTCGCACACTGGACCTTTGTGTGAGGTTCTCCAGGGCACAGCCGTCGTTGAAGTCCAACCTAAGCACTTATGGAGTGGTGCCATGCTCTGTTGCTGCGATTTGCCAAGTGAAGTCAACGGGTTTCAGCTGATGCTCTCGGCAGAACTGCCTCCTGGAAAAAACCAGGATCCTCACTAACATGTTTGCCCAAAACCAAGGTTTGAAAAACCAAGGTACCATCACAGGAAACGTGAAAGCTTGCAACCATGTATTCAGATTAAGATGAAGCACCCAGAACGCCATTCAATAGAGTGGTTAAACCAAGTTAAATCATATCAAACTTCTGTGAGCCATTGCCTGAGTTCTTACATTACACTGACCAGGGATGCAACCAGCTCAACAGTCTATTTCCAACAAAGAGGCTCTGGGAAGGAGAAGACCAGCCAACCTGCAGCAGTGCTTCCCTGATGCACTCTCCCAGGCACCAGCAATTTATGACTTGGGGATTTCCTGAGCCAGAAGTTAGGCCTTTTTGCCTGCTAACCCTTGATCGATTTCTATGGTTTCAGAAACTATGCAAACACTCGATTCCTTAGCTCTTGAACACACAAAAGCTCAGGGCCAAGGAGCCAAACTCTGAGCTGGTGGTGAGGTCTGCTCAGCTACTCTGGCTTGGAAGGGCAACTGGAAAGGGCTGGCTGCATCCTGAGTGCTGGGTCTGAGGCAGGCTGGCAGCAGAGCACATTTCCAAAAACCCATGCCTGGGCTCCAGCACAAGGTCTTCAAAATTGAAGCACTGAACGTGAAATAGTTCAGTATCAGGGAATTCATCTTTTTCCAACAAAGCCTGTTTTCACTGAAAAATTCCCAGCCAGCTCTAATTACAACGTGTTTCATTAGTGTCAGGCTATTGCCTTTTATTGTTTCATTGGTTTGTGTTTTAAGACACTGTCTGACAAAGGCAGCTCTAAATCAGTCCTAGCATGTGTCAGGGTGTCTGAGCAGAGGGGCAAGGCAGGGCAGTAGTTTTATTGGAGGAGCAGTTCAAGGGAGCACACTTTCATCAGATGGGAAATGGGAATCCAGTTCCTCTCTTGCCTTTGCTCACGGAGGAAGTAAAAGAACCTACAGAAATGGGAGAAGCAAGAACCAGCCCTGGTGATCTCCCCACCTGATCATCGCACGAACCCTCCATATAGGTATGCTCCGCAACAGCAGAAGAGCCTGCGTCTTGTGCTTCAAAGTTGTGGCTAGTAAAAGGAAAAATTCACCTGAAAAATTTCTCCTGGGAGCTCTATTGGTCTGTGCCATAATCTTGCTAAGGAAATGGAAGAAGCCAAATAAAACCAGAACCAAAACCAGGAAGCAATGTGTCATGGGGAAAGATCTGAGATGCTCTAGCTGGTTTCCACTCCTGTGGGTCACCTCCTGAGAGAAGCTAGGTAATGGCCGTTCAGCCTGCTTTAAAATTTATCATCATCCAGTGCGTAGAACAGTTTCCAGGGACGTTTAGCACTGAAGAACCTCAGACTCAGGTTGGTTACCAATATTTGTGGTACACAACCACTTCAGTGGCTGCTTCTGGTGTAATCCAGCAACAGGAAACCTTCATGGAAAACACAGAGGGAAACACAAGTTGCCACGGGGCTGCTGCAGTGTCCCCGAGACATCCCATTATCCCCAAAGATTTCCTTCATAGCCTCTGCTGTACCACAACATGGACCCTGACCAAGACCTCGGGCAGGCTTCATGCTTCAACACAGACAGGCATGCAGGGTGAGTTAAAAGTTATCTTGCAATCGTATGCTTTAGATGTAATATCATGCTTTGCATAATAAAGATTATTGTAAGGATTTGGGCGATTCATAACCAACAGGTTCCGGAATAGGTTGGGAAAATGTGAAGGCAAAGCAGCGCTAAAGGCGAGGGACAAATTAACCATCAACCCAGAAATGCCACTTTGCAACCTGCTGCCCGGCAAGTGCTTGGATCCCCACGGAAAGGGACGTGATGGGATGGAGAGCAAGTGTCTCTGGCAGCACTAGTGACAGCAGCGCACGTTCATCAGCTCGCAAGCCTGGACCACAGAAGTGAGAGATCCCATTTCAGATTAACAGCAGCATCCTCATAGGGAACACCAGCAAAACATGGACGGAAAGCTACAAAGCACTTCACAAACATATCTCCTGCCATGCTCTTTATATATTGTTTTTCAGGAAATTTTTAAACTTAAAGGTTTCCTTGCTTCATTAGGCAGGCAGACCACTTCATTATTTGCATTGCGAAGAAAAATGCTGAGGTCTTTTAGAGAGAGAAAAACAATGTCATTAAATGATTAAATGACCATATAGCTGGCCAAGCCACTGCAGCAGTAAATGGCTCAGTCATAAAAAGGACAGTAAAACATGACCTGTCCCACATTTAATGAGCAATAAGAAGGAACCATTCCTTTCAAATATCATTTGAACTGAAGTGTAAAGAGGTGTGAATTAAATTCAAATTGAACTTGATTTTGTCTTTTAAATTAGACCTTTTGGAAGTCCATACTTACAATAGGCATAAAAATAAAATCTCTCTCTCGAGGGAGGGACGGGATCAGTGAAAGATGCAAAGTGGCCATACCTGGATGCTTCATCACATCATTGCCTTAAGAAATACCACAGAAACGTGACTTGAATGTCAGTAGTTTTACTGTATTATTTATAACATGCTACATAATTTAAGCATGCAAAGACCCAGCCTGCAGCAGGTACTCCACACAGTCCAAGCACCAGCATCGATACGTCCTCAGTGATCTCTCTAGCTCCGACTATTAATTAGCAGTGTGGTGGTCTGAAGAAACGTCTCCTGTCAACCAAGCATCTTTCATTTCCCTGAAGAACAAAGCTCTCCAAGCTCAGAAACCTCGGGGGATCTGCCATTTGATTCAGAGAGTGTGGCCACCTCTAACAGCCAGCAAAGATCACCGTTGCCAGATCATCCCATATGCCTCTTACTCAACTTCTCCCTTCCAAAGAGCGCTGAAAAGGGCTTCTAGAGAAACATCTCTACTTTCTCAGTCTGCTCCATCCTTCTTACTCTACTGTGCCTCACTCAACCTGAGCCGTCCTGTGATCAGTTAGAAGGTCTTTAGCTAATATCAAGTCCAAATTTGTAACATTGACAACACATGTAAATAATACAGAGTATTTACCCAAGAAATTCCTTGCATCTTGAAAGCTCAGCACTTTGCAGAAGTGCTGGGCAGAGGGACTGATGTCTCATACCTGCTTTGCAAAGGTTGCTATCTATTTTAACCCTGTTTCCCTTACATGGAAACCTGAAGAGTTGCTTGGATCAAGGGATCCAAACCCTGAAAGCCTACCTTCCTGGTATCACTTGCCATCACCAAGTCACCTCTCCATGGAGGAAATCTGAAAGACTGTGAAAGCTAACATTGTTGCTCAGTTCCCAAAGCTCTCAGCACCCACATAGGCTTGAAACTGCTGCTCATTTAACATGACCTTATACTTCTTTCTATGAAGTCAAAAGCAGAAAATCTGAGGGCTGAAAACAAGCCAGGCTAGGTGGAAATGTCTGACGGATTCTCTCTGTCGATCCTCAGCTGATGAGGGCAGAAGGGGGAGGTTCAGCTGGTTGTGAAGAGCAGCCAGGCAACCGATTAGTAAAGGTGACTTTTCTCCAAATGGGAGATGCTCCCAAAAGATGCTCCAGCTACGGAAAAGTAGAGGCTTCCAAGCTCCCCATTGGGGTGAAGTCTGGATGAAAGACGCCTGCGGGCTGGGAGCCGCATTATTTATTTTTCCAAGGTGTGTGTGATGCTTTCTGGAGTCCATTCTCCGCCTGCTAACTGAGTGATTGGCACACCGGCACCAATTATGGAGACCCGTTAAAACGTGCCAGGCGATATGAATATGCAACAACACGACCGCCTTTCTTTTGTAAGTAGCAAGTAGAAAGAAAGTAACAACTTTCTAATGTTGATCATTTAGGTCTTTTGTGAATTCTTTGTATTGTGCCATAGTAGCCTTCCACTTTTTAGACACATGGGTCTCCTGCTCCAGCGGACACTGGGCACTGTGGATTAGCATATTTAGAGTACATTGCAACAGTTGACTATTCAGTATGTGAAGTGGTGAAATTTACTCTATTATTTCTAAACACTTACGGGAACGGTGCTCCTGTCAACCAGTCAGCCATCTATTGCAAGCTTCTGTGTCCAATAAGTTACCAATTAATTGGCTCCTACAATTGTTGTATAGTTTACTTCTTGAATGGCTCCCTCTTTAGTAATTTCCTTCCCATTGTGCAACCCTTTCTGACAACTTCTGTATAACACTATCAGATAATCACTGTCTTTTCTTTCTCGCCTCACTTTTCTATATCTCTCTAAATAGTTTATTATTCTGCCTTGGTACCTTTTATGGAGGCCAGCTCAGTGGCCTGTCAGTTAAAGGGTAAGGATACATTAAAATCGTCATTCATTCAAAAGGCTTTGCAGTAAGTGCTCAGGATATTCATTTGTGCACACATACAGGTCCAAGCCTGAAGTGTGGAGCTCTGAAAGGAAAAGCCCTATCTTCCCTGAACAAACCCTTAATGATTTTACATTTCTCTCAGAGTCTGCACTCTAATGAATGTTGACATTTCATGCACGGCGAGACATAGGAATTCTGTTTGTGGTCAGGGGCTACAACATATTCCCAAGGAAATTAAATTCAAAATTGATTGTGTGACGCTCAAAAACTGGCCCAGAATTTGAATGATTTCCTTCAAGCAAGATATAGCTGCCTTTCCCCCTGAAAACCAGCCAGGTTTTAGCAAAGCCAAAGCAAAAAGTGCAAATGTTGTTTATGGCTTGCTTTCCCCTGCACCAGAAAGCTGTGAAAGCAAAATTGTTCTTTTGCTCCTTTCTGATAGAAGAAATGCCACAATGTCAAAACTGTGAGCCAAAGGGTTCAGAAAGACACTCCGAAACGGCAGCGTGCCCGTGCAAAGACCCGGCACAATGGCAACGCCACGATTCTTCTTTATTTCAGCCAGGCAAGAAAGACGTTCACATATCGTTGACTTCTTTTGGTTTAAATTAAGTCAGGCCTATTGCTAAATCAGCTGCATCTCTCTAAGACTTTGTGGTCATGGATTTTTTTATTTCTGGGAGTGGATTAAAAGTGGTTTTTTCCTAAGTTGAGTAAATTAACTGGTTATTTAAGTTAAACCAGCTCTGTAGGAGGAACTTCAGGAAGACGACCCTCACATGGGAGGAAGCCACATGTACAGAAGACAGATGCTTGGAGCATCTCCCCGTCCAGCATAAACCCCTCTCCCTCCTCCTGATCACACAGACACGGAGACATGAAAGCACTTCCAAAATGGCTACAAAGAGATGACAAACCCACCAACTCATCAGACAGCCTGTACGCCACATTGCTGTCGAGATCGGTGTAATACTACACAAGATCTTGTGATGCTTTGAACAGGAAACATCCCTGCTGAAGGGGAGCGAAAATAATGGGATCTCTTTCCCATTCAGTATCTCTAATTCTGCTGCCGTGCTGCAAAGCAGTATGGAGAGGGTATTTATTTTTGGTGGAAGGCAATGCGGAACTCAGACGATCCAGACAAATATCGCACAAACCTATTACATCTTCATTATTGCACTGCTCTATAGAGACAAGTGTTTTGAAGAAGGTAATAAGCACTTATAATTAAGGCAATTATAAAGTAGTTTATTATAGTTGAGCGCTAACATAGAGCTGCCTTGTGTCCAAGAGAACCAAAACAGTGATACAGCCTATCTGGGGAATTTTTAAAACAGCATCAATCTGATGGTTATGGCTCTGGAGGAAAAAAAAAAAACAGCTAGTGGCAGACACAAGCTGATTTTACAAGCCACCAGAGGATGCAAGCAGGAGGGCAAACATGAAGAAATTGTTAAATTGATGCTGGATACGTGTCCTCGTCCCCTGGCAGACAGCTCTGGAGTGGGAAGTTGCCTTTCCCATGAGCTGGACCCTGACCCTTGGAGAGCCACGGGGCTGAAGTCCCACCACCAGCACAGCAGCATGAGACAGGATTACCCCTGTTTGTGCTTCACAGCCACCTTGGGGGACTCGGGAGATTAGCATCCCAAAACGACAACGTGACCTTGCAGACCAGAAGGGCTTGGGAAATACTAACTGAACCCAACCCCACAGTGCACACAGGCAGTGTTACAAGCTCCGGAAGATAAAATAAATGCCATCAGCTCTTTGCTCAGCACAGATTTCTGTAGGGCAATGGAAGTGTCGCTCTGAGTAGAATAGTTTCCGAGTTACTATCACAAAGTTAGAACCTAAAATAACGCTTGCTTTCAGACCAGGAGAAACACGGCACTTTGCTCTTTCTCGCTTGTATGATGCCATCAGGCCCTGTCTCTGGTTTCCATGCTGATTACAAAAACATCACAGACGCCACCAGCAAGCATTTGTTTTTTCAGAGCTTCAGACACACTACTTTAAACACTCTCTTCCCCTCAGAATTTTTTTAAAACTCCCTGAATAGGCAGCAAGTTTCTTTCAAGTCTGTTTTACGTGAAAGATGTGTTTGTGTATGATTTTTCTTCTCTAGGCCAACAGTGGTGATGTTTTTGATGCAGCTGAAGAAAATGCTGTCACTCGAGAAAAGATAAAATTATCACCTTTCATGAAACATCTACAGGTTTAACCAACCCACTTCTCTAACAGGTGAAAACAGGATCTTGGCAGAGAGAAAAAACAAAGCGTAGACATGAGGATAAAAAGCACTTCAAGCCTACAATTAAGTTCAGTGGGAGGGGAAAGGGTGAATAACTTGTTGCATAAAATAGTCAGTGGCACCTACCTATTTCCCACGTGATGGCAATGGAGAGGAGGAGGAGGAAATCCCGGTCACCCCCAGTGCTTACCTAGGCGGCTCCAGGAGACGATGGGCCGGGGATTGCCCGTTGCGATGCACTCCAGCACAGCGGTCTGGTGCACCGTCAGCGTGAGGTTCTCTGGACCGACGAGAATCATGGGGTCCTTGTAAACGGTGGAGTGGGAGCCTGCAAGGACAGCATCATCGTTAAAAGGCATCTGATTCTCTCTTGTTTAAAGAAAACACCGAGGGCTTCATGCATCCTGTAAGTACAAATGATACAGCTGGTGTAATCCTCAATAAATTTGAGACGTACATGAAATGAAAGAAGCACAATGTTTGCATGACAGTCACATTGTCTGAACGTGTTTTAAGTGTGCACTGATATTCCTGGGGAAAACCTCTCAGCCAACCGACCCAGCCACAAGCAGCCCTGTTAACACCCAGATATGGGCAGCACAAAAAAAGGAACCGCGCTGTGAACGGCAGTGAGCAGATGTGGAGGAAAAGCATGGTATATAGGGAGGACACAAGCTGCAGGACAGCTCGTGCAGACAGGAATGCAAATAAGTGAAGGAGCTGCTTTATCTTTCAGCATCTCAAGCCATGAAGTAATCCATGCAGTCCACAGTGCCTAAATCTGCCTCTCTGCAAGCATCCTCTCTTGCTGCTGCTGTAATTGGTTCCAAAAGCCCTGTCCTGGGACACAGAGAGTGATGGCAATGGTAGTCCCTTACTCCTGCTGAGGATCTTTTTGAGAGGAAACTCAAGAAAAGTCCTCTGATGACTGCAGCCCACAGGGTGGTCACTTCCCTGCCTTTTATAGCATCGTCTGTCCTGGCCTGCTCCGGCGTAACTGGGTGCAGGGAGAGGATGTATCTCATTGCTCTGATATAATCGTGATACAATCATCGCTCACGATGCAACCACTGATCATTTATTTGCACTACAGTAGCACCAAGTGGCAGCAACCAAGAATGAAACCCATCGTACAAGATGATGCACAGACCCATAATAAAATAAAGCCTGGCACAAGGAGTCTGGACACCAGACAGGCACAGGACAAGCAAAAGAAACCACATTTCACCAGACAGGAGAGACCACGGGACAAAAACATCATCCCGTGTCAGGTATACCACAGCTGAATCCGCATCTCCCGAGTCCCTAATGTGCCGTATCCCTGGGCCAAAGGTCCCTTCAGCCTTCACTCCCGTTTGTTGGGAGGAGGAGAGGAGTTAAAAAAGGAGATACTCCCAGTTCTCCATCAGTAAACAGGAACACTGATAACCTCTGCACTAGTCTTCTCCTCTTTTCCAATGAGAGCTGGGTTATACTCCGGAAATGCTGAGGTCAAGCAGCGTTTAAGGAATTTCAACAATCTGATGGCTGCTGCTGGCAAAAATGCTCTGTACACCTGCAAAAAGAAATACTGGGGCTGGTCGTCTGCCCCCGAGCAGGAGAGGGGCACAGGGAGGGCTGGGGAGCTGAGCGCTGCCACGGGCTGGGCTTTGCTGCAGGGACCATCCCACGCCAACTCCTGCACATGGACTTTCTGAAGTCCAAAAAGCTTGCTAAAGAGAAGCGATTCACCAAAACCCATCTGCAAGGGCTTTTCTCCAAGAAAACATTTCTCTTCTTCCTACATTTTTTAGCGTTACCCTTTCGTGGCAGCTCAGGGGCTGAAGTCAGGGCGTTAGCAGGGGGATTTCGCAGCGGTCCAAGGGCAAGCCCAGATCAGAGCGGCTCGTTTGTTAATTGTTCCTACAGGAGCTAAACAGGGAGCGATAAAGCAACTCAGAGGTTATGTCTAAATGGGCAAAATCCAAGAAAAATCACCGTGTCAGTGTGACTTAAGAGCTGACTTTCTCACTAAACGCATTTCACTGCAAGCCATAAAATGCAGATTTTTTGATGAGAACCAGAATGCACAATAAATTCATACGACCAGCTGGTTAACCCCAAGAGATCTGAAAAACAATACCTTCCCCCTCAGTACCTCGGAGTGCCTTTAAAACCCATGTAGATTTGTTGTTCTAAATCACAATACTAAATGTTCATGCTTAGAATAATATGATATTATCATGGTATTACATAGGGATTTCAATATTTCAAGACACAAAGAAATTAAACGAATTGTCCAAGGTCACCCAAGAATATCAGTAAATGCGAATTGAGACCAAAGCATAATTTATACAACACTCTATTTGGACAATAAAATATTAAAAAAATCACACTTTTTGATTTATATTCTGAGTCCTAAATAGGCATTCGGGTTTTCGGGTGTGGGCTCAGCTCCGTGAGTCTGGCCAAACCCTGCCCAGCTCTGGAAGTGGCATTTCCACCGCTGCTCACCTCCTGCAAAGGTCACAAAATGGTCCCGTAGCTTTGTTGCCGAGCCCAATGCCCACGGCAGTGCCAGCTCCAGGGTCAGAAGGGACGGTGACCCAGCAGGGACGCAGCAGTCAAACACCAGCACAATGCAAAGGAGTTGACTATGCCTGACCATCGAGGAGGAGGTTTCTTTCTCCAACTAGAAAAGCTCTTCAATGCAGGGTCAGGAAGGAAGCAGTGACAAAACGAGGGATTCGTGGTCGGTGAGTGCTGCTGGAGCACAACAGTGTTCAGGGCAACACGGCGGGGAATTATTTTGAAAGGGAAAAAGGCTCTAATGATGCATGTGGTCCCCAGGGACTCTGCCAGCAGCAATCGCAGCGAGGATGGGGAGGTCCTCGGCACCACCAGGAGTGACAGGCACTCTAGCAGGGATGGGAGCATCACCGGCACAGGCTGTTAGATCTTGATCAAAAGGACAGCAGCAGAGAGAGACGCAGGTCGCGTTGAAAAGGTGTCAGCACAGAGAGGCAGGCAGCCCCTGGGGAGCATCTCTGCTAAGCAGGCACTTGAAAATAATCAATCAGTAGGACTGGAAGACATATCCGTGCCGCTCGCTGCCGGCAGCCCCACCACCACTGCCGGGGAGAGGAAGGAAAGTGCTGTGAGCAGGCTCCTTCATCCCCCACAGGCAGCCATCCTCCCCCGCAGGCAGCCATCCTCCTCCTCTTCTCCAGTCGGGCTGTGGCAGTGCCCTGCAGGGCACAGGCTCCCAGAGGCCATCTCCATCCTCTCCCTCCTCCCTCTCCACCTGGGGTTCGCTTTGGAAACCTCGGAGAGGCAGACCCAGTGCTTCTCTGTGGGTGAAGCAATGTGGCTGAAGTTGTTGCCCCGTTAAGAGCAGAGGGAACCCTCCTGCCACAACAAAGAGCAGAGAGTACCGTTCCCTTTACCTCTCTACACAGAAGGAGGCAATGGAAAGACTTGCAAGATTACTGCTTACCCCATCATGCCTAATGACATGTGCACAAGACCACTCATGTTAGTTCAGTATTTACTGACCCCACACCCATATCAGTGAAGCAACGACCCTGTGCTACCCCTGCGGCACACCATAGCCTCCGCTGGTGGGCCAAAGCCCAGGGTTAACGTGCTAGCACATACCTGTTGTCCTGGTCTAACAGATATTTGTGTGCTCCTAGCAAACACTACAGAGCATAAACCTTTTTCGCTGAGGTTTAACTCAGTGCAATGGGTTTTCCACAGGCTGAGAGCGTGCAAATGTCCTGTTACGGCAGCTCTGCTGACAGGCAGTCACTGAAGCACGGTCCAAGCCCTTCACCAGACACTTACACACGGTGCCCGTATTCATCATCCAACGGCTTTAAGGAAGAGAAAAACCACAAACATTTCACAGACAGGAAACCTGGAAAATATCCATCTGAAATGAGGGATGGCCAGACGAGAACAACTAGCACTTTCTGCCCTGGGAGAAATAATAACTCAGACCAGTAAACTGACACAAAGAACTTCACCGTGTTGATAATTTACTGTTCTTTTTTTCCTCCACGTGGCTACCATTCACATAGATCAAGAAAACAGGTAAGGAATAGGCGTCAAAAGCTCCCAGGTCTTTCAGAACCAGTTAACCTGCCTGCTTTCTGCATCGGAGTTGATATACACAGCATTGCTCTTTCCTCAGTTTCACCCTATTTCACACGAGCTGCTTTTTTACAGTCAACAGAGGCTAATCTGACACTCGGCACAGGCGTTAAGTCTCCTACTCCAGAACCACTGGCCAGACAGCTGTTTCGGAGGGTGAAGGCAGGCTGTGAGATACAAGCGTCCGCTGGCAAGCCTCCAGCCACTGGGTACCAGCAATTATGTGTACCTGATGGAGAGGAGGATCACAGCTTACGGGAGGAAGACCCTTTGTTGCATATAAAAAAAGTTCAACGAGAAACACACGCCCAGCGCAGATTTCCCTTGCCTCTTATTTCCAAAACCATCGTCTCTGTTTCCATAGGGAATCTAGGTTGGTCCCCTACCCAAGAGCCATGGATGCATCATCACTGCTGTCACAGGGGACCGGAGTGGGTACGCAGCATCTCAGGAGGGTTCTGACCTGCACAGAGAGTCCTGTACCACAAAGGCCACCCTGCCAGCACCACATCGCCACAATTTGCAGGTGACAACTTCTTTGGCACTCTTACCTTCTCTGAAGGTAACCCACAAATGCTCTGAAGTCCAGGAGAAGCAAGCTGTTGTGTTTTCATGCAAGGATGATAAGCATACCAAAGCTATTTCTAAGAAGAGGGCACAAAGGTGTCGTTCACTCCTGGTTGCTTGATTGGGATGGGCTGTATGATTTGACTTAATACTTCCCACCTCCTTCATACTATGAGCAGCTACTGAGACATCAAGGGAGACTTCTGAAGCTAAAAGTGTTTTCAATTAAAAAGACTGACAAACGAAGAAAGCCTAACTAGAAGGTGACAATCTAACAGCAGATTTAGAAATTGGCTGATGAGTTATTGCTCGAAGGGGCTCCAAGAGATCAGCTTGGATCCCACAGACAGCTAACAGAGGATGGGCAATGGGCAGGTCAGCAGACAGCACAGCTATGGAAACGTGGTAGCAGTGCATTTGCACCCTAATCCTTCCTCCACTTTGCCCAAGATCATCACATCCACATGCCATTTTGTGTGCTTTCACAAACAGGCCAAACCTGCGCACATGCAAAGCGTGGATGTGGGTTGCTTTCATTTGCCCTTATAGCTTCATCACATCCTACCTCCGGCAGCATGAAACCAAACAGCAAGTATGTGATTTTGGCTCCTTTTTTTTTGGAGAGGAGACCGTAAGGCATCATCACTTCTTCAGTTGGAGCTTTCAGAGGTGAAAACCTGTTTCAGTCACTGACTTCAAATATGGACGGAGAACCAAGTCAAAATTCAGCCTGGGCTGCTCAGGGCTTCTCCTTCTCGTCTTCCAAAGAAAGGTTAGCCTGCTTCGGTTGCAATGCAATGCTAACAGCCTACAGAACATAATTCCCCCATTAGATAAATAATTAATCACCCTGTGTGCTGCAATTACTTCCAGAGTGGGCAGGTCTCATAAGGAAATGATGAATCTTCCACATTTCCAAAAGAATTTATTTAATGTAAAGCTGCTGTAACTCATTTTCTCATCGACCTCCCTCTACCCAGAAACTGGCACTAATTTACAGGCAAAGAGACAGATTTATCTGCTATCAAATGGATTGATCTGGCAGGAACTAATAACAATCCAGAACAAGGAAGGTGCTATGGCTGGACAGAGGGATGCTTCTCAGTGCTGTTAGCCTAAAGCTCTCTTAAACCATCCTGGTCCAGAACAGCAGTGGGAAGAAGATGACAGAAAGACAGTCAGGAGAGTGTTTACTGGTACTAACCCGACACGGTGAGTCTGGCCTCCCGGCTGAACTTCACATTAGCAATATTGGTAGCAACGCAGTGAAAAATCCCGCTGTCTTCTGCCCTCAGTCCCGTAATCTGGAGGACCCCCTTGGGCAGCAGCGTGTACCTGCGGGAAGAGAAAAGCAGAAACAAAACCTTACAAAGCAGGATGTGATGTGAAAGCAGGCTGCATACCCATGCAGGTGAGGCAGGCTGGCTCCCTGCATCCTGATGCAGAGATGCCAATACCACCTGACTGATGCAGCCCCTGGCAGACTGAGCCCATGCTTATCACTGCATCAGTTCTTTATTTTCTGGATACTTGAGCCTCTGGTCTTCTTTTACAGGGGGGGTATGTTCCCTTTCTTTATCTTGAGAAAGGATGACCTTTGCTGGAAGGCTACAAAGTAGATGCTTCTTATTTAAGCTGTGGGAAAGCTTTGGCAGTGCATTTGCAGGTGAACAGAGCTGACGTGGGAGTTATCACTCATCAGCTGAAGCCCAGTGACCACAGACAAGCATCAGGGGAAGTGTGTGCTGCACACTCCCAGCTCCAGGTCCAGGACTCAAATCCACATGACCTTAAAATCTCAAATGCATGGAAAGGTATGTTTAAAATAGATATTGAGGGGGCATACATAAATATCAATAAATATTTTATGTATTTAAAACATAGGTACATTTAAATCATGCATGCATGCACACATATATGTATACATACATTACAGGTTGCTTGGCAACCGTGTGTTTAAATTGGCTGGTAGTAAGTCATTACACTGTGATGAGTTAATAATCCATTTCCGTCTGGAAGATGAAGAATATCTTTTTCCGTATCAGCATATGGTTAAGTGCCTATAACCTGCTCCCTGCGCTGGGTTCCAAACGCGCAGCTCAGTGTCGGTGGCAGCGTGACAGCAATCAGTTTTACACGTCCTGAAGTTGATTGCAATCTCTCTGGGACTTTAAAATGCCCATTGTTTTGGATGAATTATACCACAAGAAGCCTTCATTTTTGTTAACAATCTGCCCACAGCATTAGAAGATTCAATTCCAAAGCTATTATTCTGCCTTCAAAGCCTCTGAGTGCAAGACTCAGCATACAAATTTATATACACTTTATACGCAGAAATGCACCAAGCGTGATTAATGCAGAAATCCAATTCAGTTAAGAGAAGCAACCCTCATCACCCAGGCCCGTTGATGTCAGAGATTAATCTACTGAGCTGACAATAAAAACCTTTCCCAATAACTTTACTCCCACAAAAAGCCAAATCTGTTCAAAACGAGGACACTGAATGTAGAAACCTAGCCCACATTCTCCAGGGCTTGGGCAAGCTCCCTGTCCTGGAGGAGAAGCAGTGGGGATGAGCACAGCTTGGGGCTCTCTCGGTTGGAGAAAAGTCTTGGTTCCTCAGTCCTGGAGCTCCTCAGCCATGGAGCTCCTCAGCCTTGGAGAAAAGAAGTCCTGGTCACACTCAAATCCCTGCCTCATCTCTGACCATCTCCACACCTGTGACCCTGGGCTCAAGTGGAAAGAAGCAATAATGCATGAAGGACCTCAAGGGAACTTCACCTGTCCTGCAACATCTCATTGGGACGCACACAAAGCATCAGGTCCTGTTCTGCACCCCTTACTTCTGCTGATACCACCTCGGACAAGTCGCCCTGCTCTACCACATTCCCAGTTAGTACTTGTATGAGTAAGAAGCCTTCAGAGGAGATCACGTTTAACAAATCAACCCTGTGCTGGCCTATAAAAAGCTCAGATGAAAAACACAAGGAAAAACAAAACCTGACAGTTGCAGTTTTCCACAGCAGGGTTGGGCCTCTTGGGTCCTTCTACTGTAAGTTCACCACAACACTGAAAAGGTCAGGCATTGTTCCAGCCCTTGTGTTTTCTCCTGCCTCCAAAGCACCCAACCACGTTCTGCTGTAGAATTGACATTTTTAAGAATAGGGACTTTCAGAGAAATATTTACAGCTTCCTGGTTTCGCGTGTTCCCAACACATGGACGTCAATTCACGATTGAGGTGTGCTGCGACCGATTGTCTCCCACCATCGGTTGTGCGACTCCTGAGCCGCAGCTGGGACTGCCGGAGGCTGCCGGCACGGAGCACGCGTTTCCTGCCACCTGTCCTCTGCCGGGCCCCACCACCGCTAGGAGGATCAAACCGTGATGAAGGATGTTTCCGACACGAAGGGAGCAGCCTGTCAAACACAGGAAGGGATGACGTGCCGTCCCAGGTCTAGGCTGGGGAAGGGGGGCAGCTGGGGTTCCTCTTTAGGAGGATTGCATGGGAAACAGCGGCTCAGGGCGCTGTGAGATGCTCTCTGCAGAGCTTCCCTGCCGCCACACAAAAGGGAGTCCACCTGGGAAGGAAAGTCTAGCAGCCACAGTGTAATTCAGCGCTTGCAAGAGTTCAGGACGCACGTGGAAGACCCTAAGTCATGGATCTGGCTTGGAAAGAGTTGCACAAAATGGAGCCATGGAGGGATGATGGATGCCAAAGCTGCCCGGCTCTGCTAGGATTGCTGAGTGGGCTCTTCATGCTGGAAAGTCAACCTGGAGGAGGGCTGATCCTCTCAGGGAAGGGCAATGCAAGCCCTTGCTCCCTCCAAAATCAGCTAGTGTGGTTTACCTAGGTCTCTTGGGAGATGCAGTATTTCTGCACAGTTTGGCCAGAAGTAGCCCAGACAACCCACAACGTTAACTGAAAGAGTCTTCCGTAGCAGAAACGCTGGCTAAGACCCTCAGCCCAGTTTAGTTGTGTCCTAGCACAACTGTGAGAGCAATAGCAAGCCTGACCGCCTTTTTCCACCTGGAGAAAGGACAGCAGTACATGGCTTGGACATGTCCTACCTTTCATTGTCTGTGTTGACTGGCATGCGGTTCTTTTGCCAGAGGATGACCGGCTCAGGCAAGCCGTGGATCTGACACTGGAATCTTGCTACACCACCTTCCTCCACCACTGCGTTCTGAGGGTGGATGTGGAAGTCGGACATCGCTGGAAGACAAAAAGAGAAACAAAAATGTTTACATGTGAAGAGAGATCCACTGTCAACAACTTCACATGACCTAGAAACACCCCCATTTCCCAGAGCTAGCAAACGGGATTGTAATGCAAGAACAGAAGGCTGGTTTCCCCTAACCTCTTGCACGGAGAAACAAGACTTGTGGCAAGTTCTTGCTATAGGTCTGCCTCTGCACATTGAACTGATTGACTCAATCAGGACAGGAGACCGTGCTCCGTGACCCACATGCTCCTGCAGCGAGGTCTATGGGGGCAGCAAGATGCACAGACACTGCACTGGCACTTATTGGAGGTCATTCTCAACGGCTTCAGTAGGTGTTGGATCCAAGCTCACACCAGAAAAGAGATGTCTATCCTTTCTGTTGCTGCCAATGCCTTCTCTGCTGTAAGTATCTTTCTGATCTGCATAGCTTGACTCCTAAACTCATTTTGTTTAAATACTTTGACCAAAAGAGCTCCCAGATACCCTAGTAAAACTTGATTTCCGTCTCTGCTTGGCAGGTGCTCCAGCTCATTGCATACTCCTGCCTTCCAGCACCGCAGACGGAATGGTCACAGCCCCATGCTGTGGAGCAACAGGTTTCAGCCGATAGAAAGAGCAGCTGCCAAGAGCTCAGCAGCCCAGCAAACCGAGGCTTTTGGGGTTGGGACCACCCGACAGCAAATGACAAACCTCAGCATGCCCACGCAGGGTGAATACAGACCAGCCCATTTCAGCACAGCCACAGCTGTAACCATTGTGCGGAAAGACTCTGGCACGCTGTTAGAGCTACATAAATAATACAGTAATTATTACTATTAATTAATTGGAAGGTGCTGCCTGTTGACTCTGCAATAAACATATTCAAAGCTAATAAACATCCCAGTGGTTATTTAGCTCATGATTCATTTATAGTGCCGCATCCGCAGGAAGATTTCTCACACTATCATACAAAATAAACTCCAGGAGAGCCCCGTGCTCTGCCACCCCAGCCCAATAACACCCCTCTCCCCAGCAAGAAAGCCTCGTCCCCTTTTACATGCGTCGAGTATAATGAATGTACCTCTGCTAAGGAACAAGCTGCGTATGTGTCAGGGCAGCTTAATCATTCATCTGCAAACTCCAGTTGGGCTCAGGCAGATGGGAGATGGCCATTAGCAATCATACATTAAATATGTGTTGCATTAACCCACGCTGCTCCCGCAACCACCACTTTCAACAAGCTGACTGCAGATTTGTTAAGCTGATCGGGTAAGACGGAGCAAAGCCCCGGCCCCACACGGCCGTAGGGTTGGGAAGGTTTTGCAGCCGTGAGGGTGGGGTGGGCAGCCGGCCCCACATCGGGATGCACCGGTGGGAGCAGGATTGGGAGATGGCTGTGCAATGCTCCAGCCAGATGGGAACACACCGGCACAAGGCGAAAGACCACGCAAAATTATATTTCCCTTTCCCAAGATGAAAGCTAATGCAAATATCCTCCTTGGTAAGGGACAGAGCGCAATAGTGGAATGGCAATTTACCCAATTCACACAAATTTAGTCTTGAAATGAGGTTACTCGTGGCCCAGAGCACTCAGCCATGCGGGAGGAAGCCCAAAGGCTGCTGGGGGGGTCCCCCACACCAGGTGATTCCCCTTCCAAGGTGGCAAAGGATGCTTCAAAAAACTGGGGGGCCCAGGGGTGCCCACGGCAGGACAGCTCAAGGTGGCCTGCAGAAAATTTCAAGGCTGCATTTGGAGGTCCAGACCAGGGTGAACATCTTGCAACCAAAGCTTATGGACTCTCACCAAGAAATGAATCCAAGAATTAATGAGAATGACACAAAGCTTGTTAATAAAGGGAAAAAAAAAATAAAAAAAAGAAAACAAAGCAGATTCAGATGCCTGCAGGAAAATCCCTTTCAAATGTACAGATGCTCAGTGCTGAGGTTTTTTGGTGGCTGACAGGGTTGATAAGAGGGAGGTGTGAATGAGAACAGCCCCGGCACAGACTTCGCTCTGCTGGCTACAGAATTCATTGCTGTTCCTTTATTTCAATAATATCACCTCTTATAGGTAAAACTGCAGCAATAACCTCTACTCTTAAAGACACTAGTATTAATATTTATCATGAATAAAACATGGCAAGTTATAAATAATTCAGTTATGAGGATGTTAAGTAAAATATTACTCTTCAACGACCCTATAATGTGGCTTTGAAGCACAGTTTTATGTTAAATGCCTAGGAAACACTGTGACCCTTGCCAAGACCAGCTGGTTTGCAGAAGATGCATTAAAAATTCATGCACCGAGCTACAAAATGCTATTTTTAAAACAGCTTTATGAGTTTATTTACAGTTGCAGAGACAAAAGGTTTTGTAGCATCTCCTGTAAAACAGTGACAAAACTTGAACGCGAGTGATTACCTGGGATGCTGTTTTCAGCCTGGAAATAAATCACTGGGTATAAGGAGAGGAGAGGGATAGGAGCACAACTGCTTTACAGGGCATCGCTTGGAGGGGCTAAATCTCTGCTGACCCACATGAGATTTTTGTATATGTCCCAAGTGACTGTAACAAACTCACACAGCGGAGTACTTGCTCCTATTTGTCACTTGTCTTTTAGCAGCAAACGCCAGGAAGCCCCGTTATCAGCCGGGCACTATTGTTTCAGCTGCCACGGAGAAAAGCGGCACACCAGCCCGGGTGGGGTTGGTCAGCAGCCAGGGAGCTGCATCTCATTTCTATGCTAATGGCCATCATAATTTTAAAAATAAATACATGCAATCACAATATTCACCGGCAAGCGCCTAAGTGGGGAGGCACCCTCTAATCCATCCACCCGCTGTCTCCATCATCCAGCAATGCAGCATCCACGTGCCAACGGAGGGACTGGTGCTGCCCCCGGCCCCTCTTGCGGTCATCAGCCAGGGTGAGTGCCACCATCTTCCCATTAAACTTCCCTCTGCCACCTCCATGTGTAGCACAGTATCGTCCACACACATAGTGAGCGTAAGGTAGTCATCAAGCCAGAAAGTTAGACCCAAATCACATGCACCGTCATTGCTCCATATTGATGCTCCAAGTCATGATGTCTCAGAGCTCCTGCTGTCGTCACACCCGGAATTCGGCCATGGTACACACAGACCAGCACAGGGCAGGGAAAGACAAAATCAAATGGGCTTACAGCAGACAGGGAATGGTCCTAGCAGCCCTCCCACGCTGCAGGCATGGGTACATCTTCTCCCAGAGACGCTGGCCAAGGCTAGATTCAGGCTGAGTTGTCTACAGCCACGCTAACGCATGAGGGAGAGGAGTTGCTCTTCATCTCTTCTTCCCCCTTACTTTATCATGGAGGATCTCAACTAGGATGAGGTTGGATCACAGGTGAGGCTCCTCCCTAAAGAGAACCCAATGCTCAGGGGATCTCCCATCACCTAACACTCACCAGGATACCGTCCCCGAAGGCATGTCCTATGGACACGGTGTAGGTGAGCAGCACCTCTTATCCTCATCCATATTCACAGAGGATTTGTTCTGGTAAATGAATTTGCTGGGTCTCCTCTAATCGAAGTGCAAACACTCTCTCAATCCTAACAGGCCCCGTGGAAAGGACAATGGAATAAAAATGAAAATAGGTATCGAGTGAAATTTTCTTTACTCCATGAAAAACTAAATTGAAACCATTAGTGGCCAATCCTTTTTTGCTCCGTACAGCATTAGTGCTAAGCCACAGATTGACCTAGATTTGATATAGAAAAAGAAAACATTAACTTGGTATGTCAAAGCAAATCCCCGGCCTGTTAGAATCATTAAAAGGCAAACATTGTTATCAACTGCAGGCACAAGGGAAGGAAGAAGATTTGAAAGGTTCAGTGCCAAGCCTGGTGTTAGGAGAGTATTTGGGAAGCCCAGCTAGTTCTGCAATCAGATTGCTTTTTGCTTTTAAATTACTTATGGGGAAAGAGATACCCAGGTTGGCTCTGACACAAGGGGATGCTGGAGAGGAGCTGAGCATCTTCATCGCTGGTGACGCCAGGCAATCCACAAATGATAGTCCACAACCGAAGACCCTTTCTCCACATATCTGCCACCAACCTGTTAAATTCAGACCTCTTCCAATGCAGGCATCTGATTAAAATGCCTCAAAGTTGACACAGTACAAGGAACAAGAGTTTAATGGGGACATGCCTCCAGTATCTGGGATCCCAGATGTCCCTGCCAAGGAGGATAAGATCCGTTAGCTCCATCACAACTGATGAATCATAGAATCATAGAATCGTTATGGTTGGAAGAGACCTCAAAGATCATCAAGTCCAACCGTATACCCAATGCCACCATGCCCGCTAAACCCACTAAACCACGTCTCGAAGCACCACATCTAAACGTTTTTTGAACACCTCTAGGGATGGTGAGTCCACCACCTCCCTGGGGAGCCGGTTCCAAAGCTTAACGACTCTTACCGTGAAGAAGTTCTTCCTTATATCCAACCTGAACCTCCCCTGGCGCAACTTGAGACTGTTTCCTCTTGTCCTACAAGAGGTGAAGGTGAAGTCTGGGAGGCAAATGGTTTTGCCCACTGTGAGACAACAAGCCATGGGCAGAGCCGACCCCTTCCAAGAGTGGCTCCATCCTGATGCTGGTGACAGTTGCTGATTTTCATACTGAATTTTACTAATAAAATTGAATTTCCCCTCGGATCAGCAGAAGTCAGGGTCATTTTTAAAACACGACAACCACCATGGCAATTAAACTCAGACCTAAACTACTCTCAAATCAGGCTGACAGCTCCAGTAGAACCAGCCTTTGGTATCTGTGAGATTTATTAAGCACCCATCCTCCTTGGCACCGCAACTCCTTCCCAAGTGCTTTCCCTGCCCCAAAGCAAGCAGAGGGATTACATCCTCTTCCATTCCCTCCTGGTTTAGGAGACCTTCACCATTAAGTTAGCAACCCACCAGGGAATATTTTCAAGGAGGATGTCAGGTGAAGCAGACACAGGTCTCCTATTTTGCTC